TTTTTGAGACAGAGTTTCGCTCTTGTCACCCAGGCTGGAGTGCAATGGTGCAATCTCAGCTCACCACAACCTTCACCTCCTGGGTTCAGGCAATTCTCCTGTCTCAGCCTCCTGAGTAGCTGGGATTACAGGCACGCGCCACTATGCCCAGCTAATTTTTTGTATTTTTAGTAGAAACGGGGTTTCACCATGTTGACCAGGATGGTCTTGATCTCTTGACCTCGTGATCCACCTGCCTCGGCCTCCCAAAGTGCTGGGATTACAGGCTTGAGCCACCATGCCCGGCCCAAACATTCCTTTTAGAGACAGGGTGTTGCTCTGTCACCCAGGCTGAAGTGCAGTGGTGGGATCATAGCTCCCTGTACCCTCTTACTCCTGAGCTCCAAATGATCCTCCCACCTCAGCCTCCTGAGTAGCCAGGACTACAGGTGCATGTCACCATACCTGGCTAATTTTTAAAAAGTTTTTATTTAGACCTTCTAAAAGGTTTGCAGTCGTGTTTCACTGTGGCCTTTTTTTCCCCCCTACAAATGACTAATGATATTGAGTATCTTTTCATTCAACTCACTTGTCATCCGTAGACCTTCTTTGGTAATGCACCTGTTTTTTTGTGCATTTTAAAATCTGATTATTTTTTTTATTGTTGAGTTTGGGAGAGTTCTTTATATGTTCTGGATATAAGGCCTTTATCAGATTATTTGCTTTCCAAATGTTTTCTCCCAATCTGTGTCTTATCTTTTCATTCTCTTCACCAGGTGTTTTGAAGAGAAGCTTTTTATGATAAAGTCCAATTTTTCAAATTTTTCTGTTTTATGTGATGCTTTGGGTATTAGTCTGTTTTCACGCTGCTGATAAAGACATACCTGAGACTGGGTAATTTATAAAGAAAAAGAGGTTTAATGGACTCAGTTCCACATGGCTGAAGAGGCCTCACAATCATGGCAGAATGCAAAAGGCACATCTTACGTGATGGCAGATGAGAGAATGAGAGCCAAGCAATAGGGGAAACACATATAAAATCAGATCTCATGAGACTTACTACCACAAAAACAATATGGGGGACACCGCTCCCATGATTTAGTTATCTCCCAGTGGGTCCCTCCCACAACACCTGAGAATTATGGGAGCTACAATTCAAGATGAGATTTGGGTGAGGACACCGCCAAACCAGATCAGGTATCGTAGCTAAGAAATCTTTGGCTGTCCCAAATTCACAAAGATTTTCTCCTCTATTTTCTTTTCTTTTCTTTTTTTTTGAGACGGAGTTTCGCTCTTGTTTACCCAGGCTGGAGTGCAATGGCGCAATCTCAGGTCACCGCAACCTCCGCCTCCTGGGTTCAGGCCATTCTCCTGCCTCAGCCTCCTGAGTAGCTGGGATTACAGGCACACGCTACCATGCCCAGCTAATTTTTTGTATTTTTAGTAGAGCTGGGGTTTCACCATGTTGACCAGGATGGTCTTGATCTCTTGTCCTCGTGATCCATCCGCCTCGGCCTCCCAAAGTGCTGGGGTTACAGGCGTGAGCCACTGTGCCTGGCCTCCTCTATTTTCTTTTAGTAACTTCATAACTTTTGGTTCACGATTGAGCAGGATTTTTTTCATTGTACAGGATTTTTATTCTTTATTTCCCCCATGAACACCCAGTTGTTCCAGAACCATTTGTTGAAGAGACTACCCTTTCTACACTGAATTGCCTTCGTATGTTTTTCAAAAATTGGTGTGTTTCTGCATCTGATTCTGGACTTTGTTCTGTCTCGTTGGTCTGTCTGTCTTCCAGTTTATCCAGCACTGCACTGTTGTGATTACCTGCAGCTTTAACATAATTGGTGAAATGAGGCAGCCCCTCCCTTTCCATTGTCAATGTATTTTCTCTCTTCTAGGTCCATTACGTCTCCATATGAATTTTAGAATCGGCTTGCCAGTTTGTATAAAGAGGCCTGTGGGATTTTGACTGAGGTTGCTGATTCTGTGGATTAATTTGGGTGAGAAGTGCATTCCCAAAACCGCTGAGTCTCCCAGCTTGTGAACAAGGCATATCTATCTCCCTGTATGGAGGTTGCCCTGGATCTCTCTCTACAGTGCTCTGAGCTTGTCATTTGCAGGTTTTCTTGGCCTGTTCCATTCCATCTCTATGTAATTTCATGGTGTTGGTTGCTTTTGTAAGTGATATTTTTCAGATGACTTTTTGGTGCTGATTTCTAGTTCAATTCCATTATGGTCCTATAACAAAGTTAGAATTATGAAATTCCTAAATAATCTGAGCTTTCTTTTATGGTTTAGTATGAAGTGGTCTTAGTACATAGTTAGTTCAAGTGCTCCTGAAAAGAAGGGGCCTTCTGCTCTTAGAGTGAAAGTATTTATCCAGGTGAATTAGGTCAAGTTGGCTGATCATGTGGTCCTTCTCCTCCTGACTTTTTGCTTGTTGTTCTGTCAGTTGACAGAACAAGTTGATCGATCAAGTTGAGAGATCGATGTCAAGGTCTCCAATTATAATTGTAGACCCGTCTGTTTCTCCTGGCAGTTCTGGCTGGTTTGGCTTCATTTCTTTTGCAGCTCGTTTATTAGTACACACATGCGTAGGATTATTATTTTCCTTTGATGAATGGATCTCTTTATCATTATAAGGTACCTTCTTGGTAATAGTGTGTGCTCTGAAATGTACTGTTGTCAATATTGGTCACCTCTCCAGCTTTCTCTTGCTGGTTTTCTTAGTGATGGCATGTTCTGCCTTTTTGCATCTTTGTATTTAAAGTGTGTTATTGTCAGCGGTGTCTAACTGGGTGTTGCTGTTTAATCCAGGTTGAGTGTCTGCCTTTTAATTGTGCTGGTTAGGCTACTTACATTTAATTTAATTATTGATATGATTAGTTTTGATCTTGTCATTTTACTGTTATCTACTCATCTGCCTCTTGTTATTCCCTTTATCCTGTTTTTTTTTTTTTATCTTTTTTCAATCTGTTTTGGTGTTTTTCTGATTATGTTTTATTTCTTTTTTTTATTATTATTTTATAAAGATGGGGTTTCACTATGTTGGTCAGGCTGGTGTTGAACTCCTGACCTCAGGTGATCTGCCCGCCTTGGCCTCCAAAGTGCTTAGGTTACAGGCATGAGCCACTGTGCCCGGCCAATGTTTTATTTCCTTAATTGGTGTCCTAGCTGTAAGTCTTTGTTATTTTAGAGATTGCTGTATGTTCTCTAGTACACATCTTTAGCTGATCACAGCCTGCCTTCAAGTGATACCTCACCTTCTCACATATAGGATAATCACCTAACAGCCGTCATGTTGATTTTTATCCTATAGTGTTGTCATACATTTTATTTATTCTTTTTTTTTTGAGAGGGAGTTTTGGTCTGTCTCCCAGGCTGGAGTGCAATAGCACAATCTTGGCTCACCACAGTCTCCATTTCCCAGATTCAAGCAATTCTCCTGCCTCAGCCTCCCCAGTAGCTAGGATTACAGGCATGCTGTGTTTGTTTGCTTATTTTTGAGACAGAGCCTCGCTCTGTTGCCCAGGCTGGAGTGCAATAGCACGATCTTGGCTCACTGCAACCTCCACCTCCTGGGTTCAAGTGATTTTTACGCCTTGGCCTCCTGAGGAGCTGGGATTACAGGGCTGCATGACCATGCCTGGCTAATTATTTTTAGTAGAGAAGGGGTTAAGCCATGTTGGCCATGTTGATTTTGACTCCTGGCCTCAAGCAATCCACCTGCCTTAGCCTCCCAAAGTGCTGGGATTACAGGCATGAGCCACCTCGCCCAGCCTCTGTGTTTTGTTTTTGATTGTTTCAATTGCTGTTCCCTCAAGGACACTGAACTTTCCTATTGTAGATTCTAATCTGTCATTAATCCCATACAGCCTGTTTATCTGAGACGTTGTAGCTTCTACTTCATGTGTCTCTTCCACGTCTGCACTTAACTGTTCCATTTTTTTCCAGTAGTTTTAACAACTGTCTTAATGTCCCCGTTTGCCAGTGTTGCTGTCTGTGCTGTTCTTGGCAGGTGTTTGTTGATTGGTTATTCTCTTCATTACTGGCCATGTTCTCTTGCTGCTTTAAATGTCTGGTAATCTTTGATTGGATGGCAGGCATTGTGAATTTTAGCTTGTTGTGTTCTAGACATTTTTGTATTTGTATAAATCTTCTTGACCTTTTTTCAGAGATGCAGTTAGGTTTCTTGGAAAGAGTTTAGTTTCCTTGGGTCTTGCTGTTGTGGTATGCTGGGGCACCCTGGGGCAGTTCTCAGACTGGAATAGTTGTCCCCATTCCTGTCTCCGTGCAGAGTCAAGTGATCTTTCCATCACTATGGACCTTGACAGACTTTATGATTTTTAAACCAGATGAATATGTTTTCCATTCAAAATACTAGATTTAGAAATGAAAACAAAACTAGACAGCTTCTTACTGTGAACTAAAACTGGCCCCATTCTGGTTGTGGAGCCTCGTTTTGCATTCTGTGCCACAGAGGAGAAGGGAACTCTGTGGGTCACCCCAAAGCCTGCTTTTGTTTCTCATCTGAATTGTGCCTCTATGGTTCCCCATCACCAGCTCCTTCCACACCCCGCAGTAGAAGTTTTTTCCTGTCTTTTCCTCATTTCTGAAGACATTCTGAGGTTGCTTTCATGTACCTCAGTGGTGTCCCCTGCACTCTGCCATCATGTCACCCTCTGGGAGTGGCTCAGGGACACACTGACTTCCAGGCATACTGCCTTGGGCTGGTTCTCTTTGTGCTTCCAGCCAAGGTGTGGTCGATTGAGACTTTCTTAGCACAGGCTTGTCCAGCTGAGCAGGGGCTGCCATGGACTCCCGCATCCTGTACTTGTGACATTTTCTAGTTTTCTCTTGATGTCATCGCTGGACTCTGAGAGCTTCACAGACATGTATTTAGAAATAAAGCGTTATAGCTGGGCCTCCTAACCTTTCACCTCCTTATCACCCAGAGGGTGGGACTTCCCAGCATGGGTGACCACAGACATCTGGTCACCATTTCACTCTCGTTGCAGGTTGAAGGTTGAGGAGCTGGAGGGTGAGCGGAGTCGGCTGGAGGAGGAAAAGAGGATGCTAGAGGCGCAGCTGGAGCGCCTCACGCTGCAGGTGAGGGCGGGGCAGCCTCTGGGGGAGGTGCCGCCTGGGGCCTCATAGTGCTCTGTCCAACATGAAAGCCCGTGGTTCCTGCCGCCACAGAACACCTGTTTTCTAACTCATCTGTCTGAACTCTCTGGGCTCTCCTCCCTCTTGTGGGCACCCCCTTGCCTGGTGGGGAGGCCATGCTGCTGACAGGCCTGCACTGGCCCCCTCTGAGCTGCTCTCCATCCTGCACCACCCACACGCCTGGTCAGTGGAGCAGGTTCTGGGTGGGCTTGCACTATGCCCGTCCCAGGATTTGCCATGGTGAGCTGGACTGCTGTTTGTGTTCTTTTTTGTCATCCTTTCTCTTTGGGTTTCATCCTCCTGTCTGAGTTGCTGCGTGGCAAGAAGCCCTTGGGTGCGAGGTTAACGCGTTTTGGACGAGCCATTGATTTTTTTTCTTGGCACCTCTTAGAGGCAGATCAAATCTACTTTTTATGACTAGTTCCTGGTGATTAGAGAAGTGGTATCTGTGGTGGTGGACAGCTCTGAGCTGTGCTGGCCTTTCCTCAGCCTAGGACCTGTCATCTTGTTTTAATTGGGCCATGGTGTACAGGTAGGGGTCATGAGGCTGCTGCCCGCCCACCAGAGGCACTGCCTCAGAGCTGCTGAATGTCTCTCTGGCTGTTGGGTCGAGCAGAGCCTGAACCCTGGCTCCTTGGTGCCCATGTTGCCGGCTGATTGGGGTCTAGGCCTCACCACAGGCACCACTTGTGGCTTTCCTGCTCCAGCCTCTGGCCATCTCCCCAAGGCATCCTCAGTGGCCCTTGGAGCTAGTTGAGGCGTGAATGAGGTGAGGGGTGTGGGTGAGCACTGTGCCGACACCTGGTGAACACCTGATGGAACCTGGCCATCATCCCCATCCTGTGTGGACGACGTGTGCTTGGGAGCTCGCTAGTGGAGCACTCCTCTGTGGGAGATTTTGGGTGGGACATCTGGTGGGAGATGCCAAGGGCTGGTGTGCACTGCAGGTTTGGCACAAGGAGTGGGGCTGGCAGTGTCACCTGTGACCCTCCCTATGGCCTTGGAGGGGTGGGGGCCCTGCTCCCAGGCATGTCCTGAAGCTGCTCAGAGCCTAGGCATAGTATTGGCCACATGTCCTGAAGTTGCTCAGAGCTGAGGCATGGTGTTGTCCATGTGGAGCACGAGTGCCACACTGGGCCAGCATGGCCATGTGGGGAGAGGACAGGGCTGGGCCTGGTGGTCCTGGGGAAGCAGATGTTTATGCTATGATATAGTGACCTCAAGCCTAGCCCAGGATTCAGGAGCTATTCCTCCCTGGGTTAGTGCAACAGGTACGACTGTGCCTGGATAGCGTGTGAGAAACAAGCTCAGAGCAGTGAGGCAGGGAAGCCACTGGGGTTTGGCTTGTAGAATTTTGGAAACTTCTAGACAGCCCTGTAGCTGCCACCGCCTCTGACCCCTGCTGCGATTTCACCCCTGGTGGGGGGATGTCCAGGGTGGCACTGGGGAAGGTGAGGCCGCATAGGCCCTGTGGTGGCTCTGGATGCCCAGGGCTGCACAACTGAAGGGAATAATGTATACAATGGTCCATTTCCAAGACAAAATGCCTTGAACCAGCTTAGGCCAGCAAAATACAGAAGAAACAGAATGTACTAGGCTCCTGCTTAGATCACTGATGCCTGCTTGTTGCCTCCCACTCCCCTCTTCTCCCACTTTCCCCCCGCCCACCTTACTTGCCCTCACCCAAACCAAAGAAGTTTAGTCTAAGATGAAAGTTTACTAGCCTGCCAAATACCTCGCCTTGTCTGTTCTTATCAGCCTGCCCAGTGACTTAGGTCACAAGTCAATACCTGAAGAGCTCCTGAGGAGACTAGGATTGCAGTGCACTGTGGGCTGCAACAAAATGCAGCAGGACAACCCTAAAGAAAACACCTAAAGCTTCTACCCAACAACCAATAGGCAACATTCGGGAAGATGGTGACCACCATAGTACCCAGCCTATGAGGAACCGGGGGAGGGACCTGTGCACTAGGGGATAAACTGCTTGTTGTGACCATGCTGGGTGTGCTTGCCCATCAGACACCAGATCTTGCAGGACCGTCATTAAAAGTCTTACTTTTGGCTGGGCGTGGTGGCTCACACCTATAATCCCAGCACTTTGGGAGGCCAAGGTGGGCAGATCACCTGAGGTGATCCACTTCCCGTGGAACCATCTCCATGGCAGGCAGGGCCCCGAACCTGCACTCTGTGCCTGGGGGACAGGTTGTGGGGGCCTGAATCCAGTTCCTTTGAGCCATCTTTGTGGCAAACAGGGCCCCAAGCCTGCACTCTGTGCCATCGCTGCACTCCAGACCCAGCTGTATGTCCTCTAGACACGGATGGGGCAACCCCATGTCCCTGGTGAGGAAACATCTACTCCCAGGTCAGGGGTTTGGTCCAGGGCAGCTGGCCAGAGGAGAGAGTTGAGATCTGAAGCCAGGACTGTCATCTCTGAGCTTGTTTCTCCCTATGCATCTAGCCTGACCCACCCCATCCCTGCTTTTCTCAGCCTCTGCATCCTCATGGCCCAGCTGTCACACTTGGGCCTTGTCTCCAAGGCCCCCCTGCCCTGTGGCCACAGGTCTGCTCCCCCAGCCCTGAGTGGCCCCCATCCACATGCCAGCTGCAGGTGGTTGTAGTGTGAGCCACAGCTGTTCAGGCCACTTGGGGTTTGCACCCCAATGGCAGAGCTGGCTGCCCAGGCAGTGTGGGTCATCCTGGCATAAGGGAAGTATCTGACCCAGATGCCAGAGCCTCCCCCAGTTCTTCTGTCAGTTCAGGTGCAGACCTGAGCCCATGCAGGAAGTTGGCGGAAGCTGTGACACTGTGACTGGTCCTGGCTGAGTGGAGGGGCAGGAGTTCCCACCTGGTTCAGGGAGCTGGCCCAGACACTGTTTGAAGTGGGTCTGAAGGCAGTTTTCATACATGGAGACAGATGCCACCAGTCCATCTGCCCAGGCTCGGGTGGGGCCAATATCAAGTCACAGCCCTGGGCAGGATTCCCATCTCTCCTTCCTGGCAGTCTTGGGCATGTTGGTTTTTATAAAGGAAGCCCATCTCAGCACCCACAGCTTCCTTTATAAAGCTGGGGGCATGATGTCCCCGTTGGGGGTGCTGGGGAGATCAAAGGCCTTGACTTTAGCACACACTTGGCAAACAGTGGCTGCTGTATAGACACTGACACCCATTGTGGCCCTTCCTGCTTCTCCCATCACCAAGGGCAGAGCCTCGCCCCTTTACCTCCATCCCTGAACCTGGACACCTCAGGCCTTTAGGCAGCTGTGGTGGAGTGCGGGGGGCCCATCCTGGGGTGCTGGCCTGGGCCCTCGTGTCTTTCCACTGGCCGCTTGTGAGAGCCACACAGGCCTGCTGCACAGGCCTGGGACCCACTGCTCCCAATAGGAAGATGGGCTGCCTGCAGGGTGGCTCCTGGCAGCAGCCAGCCCTGAAGAGTGCTTGGGAGCCATGTTAGCAGGAGCCAGCTGCCACCACTGCATCCCCTGTGTAGATGGATGCCCTCTCCTCTCTCTGCTCCCACTCCCTCTGGAGAAGTCTTCACGTTGGACCGCTTCAAGGAAGATTGATTACAGTCAGCTGCAGTCTGATTAATTGGGAACATATTCTTGGAGAGGGGCTCGACTAGTTATTAGTTACTAGCTAGTTAGAACTTTATGTAATTAGTTCACAGCTGGTTGGTGAGAAATGGCAATTCCAGTTACCCCTTAGAACTGGCCACTGCCCTCCCGTGGTGCTGAGGCTGGGAGATGAGGCCTGGGAGGGCCATCATTGGGCCCCACTGTGGCGCCGGCCTTTCTGGATCTCCCTAAGATCCCAGAGCTGTCTAACACTCTGTAGGGCCAACTGTGTGCGCCCTCGTGTTGCTGAAGGGGCTGGAAGCGGGTGGGTGGGGCCTCTTTTGCTGCAAGCCCTCCCATCCAGTCTAGAAAGTGAGGCCCACAGGGAGCCTGTGCATGAAGGAGCTCAGATGCTCCATTCTTGGGAGGCAGAATGAGGCTTGAATATGTGGCTGTGTTCTCAAGTGAAGACAGAAAGTGGGCAGACCCCATGGAACTCCAGATAGGGTGGCAGAGGGAGCTCTGTGGCTATTGGTGCAGCCACAGGAGTTGGGACAGATGGATGGCACAGTCCTTGACCCCACCTGCGGCTGTGGCCTCCCGCCCCACCCCTGCCCCCACCCCCGGAATGCACCCCTGTGCTTTTCCGTGGGCCTAGAACCAAGGAGCTGGGGCCTCAGCACCTTTGTTCTCATCCGGCTCCCGGCTGCACGCTCATGCCCCACCTTATAGTGGGGGCGCTGGGCCTTGTCAGCTTGGGCCCCACAGCCTGGGGTTGGCCATGACTCTGTCTCCCACCGGCTGCAGCCTGGCCTCGGCGTGTTCCCCAGGATGTGGAGGGCACGGGTCTTTCCTGCAGGCTGTCTTTGGAGATCTCAAGTGATGGCTCCTGGAGGGCCGGGCACGTACCTGGTGAGCCTGGCCTGTGTGGCTGCCATTCTTGTTATCAATCATAATACCATTGTCCTCACCTCCATGACATGGGCATGTTTTCCACACCTGTGGTTCTGATGGGCCACGTCCGAGGATGGAGGGCACTGAGCCGAGGGAGGACACGCAGGGAGGTGGTCAGGGCCAGGTAGAGAGGGGCACATCCAATGGAGGCCACACTGGGTAGGACACCGACCTCCTGGCTGGGTGGGTGCATCACCACCTGACAGTTCCAGCTGGTAGCCACCAGCTTCTGTGCATGAAGTGTGTGGCGTGGGCCGGTGCCCGTGCCGTATGGGGGCCCCCATGTCACAGGGACAGGAGTGCAGCGTTCAGACTCAGGGTGTTTTTCAGCAGTTTATTATGAACATTTAAAGATATATTGTGAAGCTAAAAAGTTTGCAGTGAGTGCCTGTTCACCCACCACCAAGATTCCACCATGGATGCTCCACTGTGGGG